TTAAATAATTATTGTGGCAAAAGAAATGACACTATTGGAAAAGGGAATAAAAGAAAGTTAGACACTCTTACTAAATAAAGTTGGCAAATTATTAGCAATTGTATTATTCACTATTTAAAACAATTAGAACGCTTCAGAAACATGAATTATTAAGTTATAACTGAAATTAAAATATTTGTGGCTAGTTAAATACGTTCATTTATTAGTAGTAGAAAGGCTAATCATTTAAATCAAACAATGTAGAAAGCATATAAATTCCTGAAGACATTATTTTTGTCTCAAATATTCATATTCGTACAGTTGACGCATCTTATACTCCATTACGCGTTTCGCCTGGTCGGACTACTTTAAGTGACGTCAGAATTCAGCCAGTCGGCCTTCTTTATTTCGGTGGTAACGCCGCTGAGCGTTCTAGCTTGGCTGCGAAAGCTAGTGGCGCTTCAACGAATCGACGCTTCGAGCTTTGCACACGACCGCCCAAAATTCCTGTTTAAGGAAAACCCTTTTTTTCTTCTTCTCGTTATTAAATTTAAATCTCTGTAAACCTCAAAATCATTGTCATTATAAATCATTATTCTGATTTATTTTCCTGACTGCGTGTATTTGTTATGATATTCTTATCTTTGCTGGGTCTTAGTCAAAGTGTGAAGTAAACATTTTGAACATCGTTTATTTATTCATTCATTTCATTTATTTCGGCGAGACAACAGCGCCATTGTGAGATTTAAAGTTTACAAAAACTCATGATTGGTAAAAATCAACGTTCTTTTAAGTCTTTGCCTTCTTGAAAGACAAATTTAAGGTTTCAAGAAGCCAAAGACCTAAAAGAACGTTGATTTTTACAAATAACGATATATAGTATTCGTTTGTTTTAAAAGATAGGGCCAGTAGATTTGAGTTGCAATGTGCAAATACATTGTTTATTTTTATAACCAACCAATGTTGAATAGGGTAATAATGAATCAGGATGTAAACAATGTTCAGTGGCAAGAAAAAAAGGCAAAAGTGCCAAAGAAAAGCAACGTTTTAATAGATCTAAGGTTACATGGAAAGAAATACATAACATCAGAGGGAATGATGGTACCAGCTCGTGCACCAGGAAAAAATTGCCTGTAAGTTAGGTTTTTTTATTAGAAGACACGTAATACACATTTTTTGTTTCATTTATAGGTGTGTAAAAAATGTTTTCAGCGGGTTGGACCAACTATTAGACAAGACATATTTCCACAATTCTATGAAATGGAGGACAAGAATGAACAGGATAGCCATAAATGCGGACTAATCGCAATATGCTTTATGAAATAGTTTATTTTCAGATAATATCAATTGATCTAGAGTGGCTCAAATACAAGTGGCAGACCAAACATACCTTTTTTAAAATGGTATGCCGTACTTTTTATTGCATATTCGAACTATTCGCTCTATTCTAGGCCTATTTGATATAAATGTTCTATAATAATTTTTAACTGTTACTGAGTTAATAACCAATATTGATTGAACTTTGGCCACCCATTTTTGCAGCTAATTTGAAATTGATAGAAAAATGTTAAATACAAAAGTTGTAGATATTAACGTCTAGTTTATTGTAAGATAATATATAATAAATAATATATAATTCTAGAGGGCGCTGCAATACTCTGGAGCCATTTAAGACATCAGGATTTTTAACCTTTTCAAAAATCGTCATACGGTTGGTACAATCACATTTTTAATTCTTAAAAGCTTAAAGTAGCCTGGAATTCCTTCTCTGAAATTAGAGCTTGGGAGGTGATTAACAAGAGAAAATTTATCGAGAATGTCTTGCCAAATTAGCGAATTTCAAGGAAACCAAAGCAGCCTAATACTGAGCACTTTAACTCGCTAATTTAATAGATTTGAACATTACCTGCCATGGAATGTCGAAGCTCAATTTTATATTTATGTGTGCTTAAATAGAATTATGCACTAATATTTATAAAATCTACGATTATTACAAAACAGCTTAAAGCTGATTAAAAAGTCTGGCTTTGAAAAGTGCAAAAACAACAAAGGCAGGTGTGTTCAATTTTCTAGGATTACCCATTCTTTGCAAGAGATACAACTTTTCATAATTTGTCTTCTATTTTTAAGGCATATTTAATTAAATCTAAGGTATCAAGTTTTAAATCTATAGGGAATAATTACTAGGAGGAACAGCGGCAATCTAGAAGCTTTTAGAATGATTAATTTTCCTCAAAATAAAAGATATTATAAATCCAAACCACAAAGTTAGCAAGGCAACGTAAGAATTACATAATGCACAAAGATGGTTTTTTTGAAACCTTCTGTTTCGTAGTGTCATTTGCCTTTCTTTCATTGTCCTGTAAATTCTTCTAGAGGCTTGTAAAATGAAGCTGTTAGTATTAAGTAACTCGATTATTGAAAAAGGGGACGCTAGTTATAAACCCTGTAACTAATTGGTCAGCGAAGTAAATGCTTAGTTGCACCAATTCAGCAGTTTTAGTTTATAAGTACCAATTGTAATCTTAGCGTAAGTTCAGTTATAAGTTATCAGTTGTCACAAGTATACTATTACTGTAACTCGTCGTTCTGAAAATAAATCTTTTTAAAAGGCTTTCCCTTGATTGAAGAATTTTACTGGCGCAGTCGGTAGGATTTAAAATCAGACGGTATCGACAAAAATCGCGATCCGGTCGGTTTCAATCGTTTACAGAAGAAAAATCCTCAAAAATCGAAGTTCAACAATCAGGGCATGGAACGATTTCAGAGTTCTGTCTACCATCGACAAACTTACTTATACTACTGTAAGTGCTTATTTCCTTTTGAAACCCATTTTTCCAATTGTTTTGCTGTAATAGTGAATACAAAGGGCAAATCATTCGTTTTGTATATTTTTGCACGTTATTTATCGTAAAGCAAGTTTAATTTTACAACTATCTTTACATTAATTTGAACTTAATTTTAATTTTTAAATAAGATTTAATTATGAGTCGAGATATCGAACTATTAAGATATCACGCTGATACCATAGCACCTTTTGACGGAAACCCGAAATTATTGCACCGATTTATCTGTTATTGTGAAAACATTTTAAGAAATTTTGAAAATGCTGAAAACCCATCAGACACCATTAAAGTCATTCTTTTCGATGCAATATTAGGAAAACACAGAGGTAGAGCCGCTGAATTAATCGGAACAAGAATTAAACTAAATTCATGGGGACTCATTAGAAACGCATTAACCATTACATTTTCTGATCAAAGAGGTATTGATTGTTTGATCCAATACCTAATATCTGTAAAACCTCACAAAAACAAATCCTATATAAGTTTCGGTATCAGAATTCAAGACGCCCGAAGCCTTTTGTTTGCAAAATTAAATACATTAATTGTTGACGAGGACGAAAGACGAATCAAAATCGAACATTATGTTAGTTTAGCTTTGAAAACCTTCTTATCAGGCCGACAATATCATATGCAGCTTGAAGTAAGACTCAAAAATCCAGAAAACCTAGAAGAAGCATTAGCATTCGTCATCGAAGAAGAACATTTTATGAATTTTAGCAAACATCAAAATGCAATGACACATAGTTCTATAATGCAACCCTCGTCAAAGATTTTTACCCCACTTTCCAACACTCCAATGAGACCACTGTATAAACCAATAACTCAACCTCCATTTTCTAACCCAAATTTTGCAAGACCAACATCCACTTTCAATAATCAAAGTTCATATAGACCATTTGGCAAACACATGCAACCATATGCAAATAAGTTCAGAAATACATTCCCATTAGGTTCAAACAATTTCCCAATGAGATTTTCACACCCAAATCAACAATATCTTGGTAATATTTTTAACAACCAGTCAATAATCAATATAGACCACCATTTAAATCAAAATCACACACAATTCAATCGCAGTCAACCACCATTTATTCCAAGGCAAAGTAATGTTATCAGAAATCAGCAACAAAATAACCCAAATAATACAGTCACACCTATGGACACTAGTTCATATGTTACCCAAAGATCGAATAAACCAAAGTTCGCATATCAAGAACTTCATGCACAACAAGTTAACCAAGCTAACCCCGAAAATTCCGAATTAAACATCCAAAATGAGGATGCGGAACCACATTTTCATCAAGAAACTTATACCTGTACAAATGCTATTGATATACCCGAATATTTAAGCAATCAATATTGTCTTTTCCTTCGTGCACGTCCCTATCTGAGATGGCACTCCCAACACCGACTTAAGTATATGAATGCACTCAACCGAGGAATTAAAACCCGATTGTCGGCAAAATTAAAATGTATATTGCTCAGAACGTTATTTCCACACACTAGGTTACTAGAAACAAATACAACTTAAAATAAAAAAACCAATTGTCACATCGCACCCTAGACTAACTTATGTGATTGGCAAGAGAGAAAAATAGATCTTATTTACTCATTTCCCAACATTCTCCTCCCCTTGAAGTAGCAGCTTCAACCGCTTTGAGAATCGGATTCAAACGGTAGAGGACTGACTTTAGTTGCTGACCTTGTAAATATTCCATTTTTAGTTTTAATTTTGATCACTCTTACTGTTCCATCAGATCCTGGCATGGCCTGGACCATTCGACCCAATGACCAGTGTAGTGGCGGAACGTTATCTTCTTTCAGAAGCACCATATCGTTCTCTTTTAAATTTTTACCATGCTTCAACCACTTTGGTCAGCTTTGCAATCTAGTTAAATATTTAGTTGACCATCGTTTCCAAAAGTTTTGCTTAATTTTATTACAAAGTTGAAAAAAACTTAGTTTATTTTCAGGTACATTAGACACATCTTTTTCCGGTAATGCTGTCAATG